AGAAGTTTGTAACAATCAGATTTTTATCCGTCGTGCAACGCACTAGTTTTAAAATAAGAGAATCATTTAACATCGGTCAAATCAAAGTTGGTGATTTGTTTGGTCTCTTCCTCTCCATCCTCAAGAAACTTTTGAAATTTCCACATGAATTTTTTGTGGACTGAATCTTGAATCTTTTGACCATTTCATTTATATTTATATAACCAAAACAACAACAATTGAAATCATTAGAAATCTGATGATAAAATTGTGCTGTAATTTTATTAGATACACTTTTTAGTTGTATAAACACTAAAATATGTTTGTAACATGTTCGTCAATAAGCAAAGCTTCTACGGATGTGTTGGACCCAAAAGTTGCTATCCATACGTTGAGGATTTGAACATTGACTTTCTAGTCAGACTTGACAACCAGGGGTGTCAAATCTTTTATGAAATCATATGTGTTGTTGCCGCTGGAGGTTGACATTGATAGAGGTGGTTGAGGTTGTTTGTACCGACGAAATAAAGGAATGGGAGTTGTTGATATTGTGCAAGCGGTTTATGGGTTTTCTGTCAACATATATATAATATTTTGCATAGAGTGTTTTCTCAATATTGATCATATCGTACTATATCGTCCGTATTTATGGTGTTTGCTGATTTTTGAGGTTTGATAAATAATTGCTGGTATATTAAATGGAGTGGATCATTTTCACCGATAATGAAAGGCTAGAAGAATAACCGAGGATTTTGTCATTAATTATTTTTAAATTTCAAAAGATCATTAGTATTGGTTAATGTTTGATTTAAAATGTGATTGCATCATTCCCGCTAATCGGATTAGCTTATCAAATCCACCAGATTTTATTATGAATAAAATAAATATTTACCTTTTTTGGGTGACGCATAATGAAAAAAAAAAAGAAAACATTAATGTAGGGGATCATTTCCATCGATAATGAAAGGCTAGAAGATTAACCGAGTATTTTGTCATTAATTATTTTTGAATTTCAAAAGATCATTAATTTTGGTTAATGTTTGATTTAATATGTGATTGCATCATTCCCGCTAAATGGATTAGCTTTTCAAATCCACCATCTTTTATTATGAATATAATAAATATTTACCTTTTTCAGGTGAGACATAATGAAAAAAAAAAAAAACATTAATGTAGATTGTTTGATTAATTTTCTGTTTTTTTTTTTCATTTCACCAAATACAAAATAGAAAGTTGACCACATAATTAATTGATATACTTTAATTGCGATTTGATAACACTTGAATAACTGAAAATTTTAAGGACTTTTTTATAATTGTTGTAAATATTTTTTACAACAACCTATAGGAAAATGACAAATGAGATTTTGTCCTATGAGTCAACGGGAGAAGAATTTTGATTCTCTTTCTCTAGTTTTTCTCTTAATATAATACTATAGATATATTTTTATCCTTTTAAATAAATCAAAAAATAGAAAAAATTACCAGTCTTATGTGACAAATAGAAAACTATCTCGGCTTCCTTTTTCTGGGTTTTCTATTATTAAGTTATATAGAATATAGATAGATTGTAGCTTGATGTTCTATTATCAATAGAGGCTTTTGATAAATTACGGATTGATAATTGAAAAGAAAAGATTGGAAGTTTTGTTCTATGTTTCTTGCTTTACTTGTATATAATAACTGAATCAACCGGGAGTAGTTAGGCAATTCATTTGGTGTTCGGAAAGTGAACGGAGATGTGGGGGTTGAGGACAACTGAAAGGTCTTCCTCCAATTTAAATTAGAAAACAAGAAAATAAAACAAAAGGGTGTGTAGAGATGGTGTTGTTGCATCTGTTTGAACCAAATAGTGACTAAGAAAAAGGGAATGATGTTCTTGCTTGGTTTGGTCGGACACAAGCTAGGAAGAAGGATAATTGGGCTGGAAATTTACAGTTTGAATATTGGCTTTTGAAATCTAAATTCGATTATCCTGCTTTGAGATTAAAAGAAGAGATTGCTGGAATCTAAAAGAGGGAACTCTGTGCACCTTATGCTTTGTTGTTGTGTGTTGTTCTTGGTTGATATGGACTTAGTTAGAAATATATAGATGATTTCTTTATATTCTGAAAGTATAAATTGCAAGTAAAACGTAGAAGGAATTAGGAAAGAAAAGCATATGAAATTCCAGATTTGATTAGTTAATCAGAGGGGCTTGATTATCAAGTTATCTGATTCGTTGTTGTGTGGGTTTTCTTATCAAACTCTTCCTGTGGTCTTCAAGTCTTGTTCTGGTTTTATGGTTTGCCGAACCGGCTATGTCAATTGTGGGAATTTTTGTTTAAAACATAGTACCTTGACTAGTACAAAGAGTGCAGGAAAATCAGATTTACTGTCCTCTGTTGACAGTCTTTTTCTCTTAGCTCACAAATGATTTTCAAGGTTTTCTTTTTCTGAAAATCATCTTCGTTCAATCTAGTGTATGACTGTTTTTACGGATTTAAAATCAGAGTTGTAGATTCTCCGAAAACTAGATTTGAACATGACATGGTCCAGACTGAAAATCTGCTGGAAACCAGATTATGCGTCTCTGTTTAAGGGATTGATACTCCTGCTCCTTGAGTCGTTTGCTGAGGTTTCTTTCTTTGGATATCTCCTATGTTTGATGAGGTTTATCTCTGTTTTGGCGGCTCGTGGAAAGAAGTTTTAGTTTCTCCAGAAGTTAAGTTTGAATGTAACGTAAAATTTGAAAATGCTAATCTTAAAATCTGCTCTGATGCATTGTTTTAAAGGAGATTTGATTCAGATGATTTTTGCACCTTTTCACGGATCTCTTTCGCTGATACTTCTCGTCATACATCATAATATAACTCTGATTTAATGGCTCGCCAAAGGTGCTAATGGTTTGATCATAAATAGACTCTGAATCTGATCCGTTGTCACCTAATGTTGAAATTTCAGAATTATAACCCAGAAGACTAATCTACTAGCTTCCTTCCTAGTTAAACTTAAACTCATTTCTCATATGCTTTTCTGTTTGTTTTTGCTGCTATATCAAGGTGTGTGATATGTTCTCAAGCTAGTCGACCTTAGGATAAGTTAGGCTATGTCTATTAGGGTCAAGGTACCTGGCCAGGTGAGTGTCCCCTGTTCTTTTCAGAAAATTTATTTTGAAAGTCTTTTTTATATTTTTATCTAAGTTTTTAGTAATCTGCATGTGCTATGAATGCGTGTGGGCTTGTGTGCCTAGTTGCGAACGCGCGAGTGTAATATGTGTGCATGCTCTTTGTTGGTCCTTGGCATAGTGCGGTGCCTCGGATCGTGAGATTTGTTTGTTGGTCCTTGATGTAGTGTACCACCTTGGATCATGATTTTCTGGGCCTTCGGGTCGTGAAGGGACTATGAGTTACTGTGTGATCTTGCCAAGTCCTGGGTTCCATGTGGAGTTTTCGTGCAACGGCGCGTTGTTATTGAAAAATTATCTGCGTATGCCTGTGTTTTATTTTATAGTAATGATGGTTGCGTGCATGTGATCCTCATGTGCTGCATGAAAAAATTTTTAAAACTTTGGGGACCTCATTGGGCTTATCTCACCTCTTTAGGATATTTTTTTTACAGGTTTTTGCAGGGAAGTGTCACGGCAAAATTTACACCGTCAGTGGTAATCAATAGGTCATGTTGAAGCGATGTTAGGCAGTTGTAAATTAATCTATGAGTAGTACCTTTGGTCTGTTAAAAGAAGCAATGTAAAAGATAACATATTTCTTTAATAAATTTTTAATTATGTTTCGCCTAGTTAATTTGATATATTTTTATGTAGTATGTACATTTATAATTAGCAGTTAAAGTGTGAGACCTAACGTGAGTTAGGTAGACATCTATCTAAACTTGATTAGTGTTAAACTAATAGGAGCGGTTTGGAGGTCGTCACAACATATCCGTTGATGTGTGGATTTGAGTTACCGGATCAACTTTCAAGTTATGTATTTTATATAATTATAATATTTATTAGAAAAAAAAATATAATTAAAAAAATCATGTTAATCGTGCGGTGCCGTGTGAGTCAAAAATTAATACTTTGAGTTGACGCAATGAAGTGTACTATTTTGCTTAGAACGGAATATATACATAAAAAGACGCCCGACGACGCTGGTTGAGAGCAAGCAAAAAGTTTTAATGCCAAAATTTTTTGTTGAAAAATAAAACGTGGCATTGAGTAATCGAGCTGCAATCCAACTAAGAATAGAAGCTAGTGCCCCAACTAAAATGGGGAACAGGGGAGAGGCTGCATTTGTACTAGTATGGGACTATGGGAGAAGTTCAAAACTCACGCCAAACCTTATATGAACAATCTACTGGATATGCATACTTTTGTTTGAAAAGAAAATTGGAAGTGTTTTGAACGTTTTTATGATGGGATCAGCAATCTTTTTAATCATAAACAGTGACTTTAGGAAGACTGGAAATACTTTGTTGGTGTTGGAGGTGAGAATTCAGCATTGCTGGTCAAAGTAAAAAAACACTGCCTTTCATTACCTTCAGAGAATTGATCCCAAACTCAGAATCTTTTGCTCGTCAATTGCTTTGACAGCAAAAACAAATATCTTCATTTGCCAAATAAGATTAATAATGGCTCGATTCTACTGGAAAGGCGGATACCAAAAGATGAGCTTGCTGCATGGCTCATGATTAGTCTCTAGTAGTATTTGATTCCAAACCCGACGGATGAAGTTCATCATGTTTTAACTTTGACCTCATCAATTGTAGCAATTTTTAGAACCTTTATTAATCATGTTCTTAGCAACTTCATTCAAAGAGATACCAAGATCATCAAGTGACTTTTAGCAAATCCTTCTTGCTTTTAATCCCCCGTTTGCTTCTAATACCCAAGCATACTCTTAATGTAATTTTTTTACCACGTAAATTACAAACAAGAAAATTATTCGGCACATTGATGCTATAATGCTAATGTACCCAGGATTTGGTCATTTAAGTAGGCAACCTTTCTACACTTACGAGACAATGAGCATTTTCAGAACATCAAGATTCACTTTCTAAGTTCATCTCAGTGCTGTCCTTGTCTAAGAGCTTCTCTTCACCGTTCTCCATCTGAGCCGGCACAGACGAATCTCCCTTTCTCATATACTTTGAAATTAGGTCTATGAAATCTGCACCAAATCCACCGCCTTCTTCAAGCAACCTTAAAATCTCTTCAGCAGTGCCATTATCTCCTTTTCCCTTTAAATACTCAAAACAAGCCAAAACAGGAATATCTGGTCTCCACCGTGGATGTTCACGTAATCCCTTTATTGTCATCTTCACTGCATCCTCCATCTGATTATTTCTTACATAACCAGATGCCATATAGTGCCAAGTGCTCGCATAAGGCTTCGCTCCACTCTCCATGATCTTTTTGACAATTGACTCTGCTTCTTCCATTTGGCCTTTCTTGCAAAATGCAGCCACAAGGAGGTTTGGAATCCGAATGTCAAACACTACCTTTTTAGAAAACCATTGGTTCAGCAACTTTTGAGCAACAGCAGTGTCATCCATTTTCAAATGGGAACAAATCGCACAAGTATAACTCCTATTAAGCAACCTCATAGGTTTCTTGTGCAGTTTCCAAATGCGATCTACCTCATCTTTTTTTCCCATACTAGCATATTGAGTCATAAGAACCTCATAAGCATGGCATATGTTATGGAGTTTTAGACCTCTTTTTTCTTTAGCCTCGATCATATGTTCACACTTTTTTAGCATACTTACTGCCTTGGCGGTGTCCCCAGCTCTTAGATACCCTTTTGCGGAGATAGAGTAAGGCCACCAATCAATAACCACACAAGGATCGGCTTCCATCTTCAACAATAGTTTATCCATTCTCATTATATCACTTGTAGATCCGTACGCATTCAACAGAATACTATATGTGATGCTGTCAAAATGAATGCCTTTGCTTTCCATTTCTTGCACTAAAGAAATCATTTCTACCCACTTGCCCAACTGAGAGTAAAGGTTCAGCATACCATTGTAGGACAAGTGCCCACCATAGCCAAACTCTCTAATCTTCTCCATGATGGGCTCTGCCTTATCCAATAATTTCTCCTTCACATAACAATTCAAAAGAGCACCATAGAGAAGGGAATCTTTTGAATTATCGGGTGCGCTCTCAAAATACCTCTCTGCTTGTTCCAGACCATGGACTTTATAAATCAGATCCAGGTGTAATGCACCAATTCCATTCCTTAAATTTGAATTAGGAAAGCTACCAATCCATTCAGAAATCTACAGGAAAAGATACAAGAATTGGGTAATGACACATTAAACGTCTGTCTACTTGGTAACTTTTTGAAGCATGTAAAGAAAATGTGAGCAAAAACCAAAACCCACAACAGCAACAATGAGCATCATTGGTAGTCATACTTCAGAAGTTAATCACGACAACACCCAAGCTCAAACAGCAATAAAATAAACATTCTTATTAGGAGACAGAATGGAAATCGAAAAAAAAAAAACAAAGAAAAAAAAAAAGAAAACCACCAAACCTATTAACCAGAGCAAAAATGGAAACAAGCACAGGAACAAAAAGGGCGACCAAGGAAAGCCACAACTCAAGAATCGAAGGGAAACCCAGTTCAAGTAGGAAAAGGATGATATTTACATTAAAAAAAAAAAAGACAACAAAAACAAAAGTAACGATTGCATATAATTCCGAATAAAAAAGTGAAAGTTTTACCTCCAGGGCACGTTCGTAACTCTGGAATTTTCTGAACATTTTGATGGAATCGAGGACATTCCGGATGTCAATTTCTCTACCTTCATCAACCCATCGTTTCAGAACTTGAGAAACGGGTTCTTTCTGATTTGGATTCTTGGGATCCGTAGCCCTCATTAGCCTCTGGAACAGTGTGTCCTGATTAACTGAATTGGACGGTGAAGATGGTTCAATAGCAGCAGTTCCAGCGGAGTAAAAGTATGCTGAAACTGCTCCCAGTCCTCCATTTGTTACTGAAACGGATTTGGTTTTGCAGAAAGGGTTTAAGGAAGAAGAAGCAAAGCAGCGAAGAAGGGTTTTTCGAGTCATTTTGGGAGAGCTCTTCTTTTCTCAGTTTCTTCTGCAGCCTCTCTTGGAAGAAGGTGATGCTTTCTGGGCCTAAAAGTTTGTAGAAATATTTTTGAGTAATTAGAGTTAAAATAGATGGGCTGCGTAAATATCTGTGCTAACATTTTGGGCCTAGAAAACCATTCCCCCCAAAGAGTCTAAAAGAGTCTTTTCTCAAAGTGTTCTTTTTTCTTTTCTTAAAGAAAATTAGACAGGCCATATGTTAATCGACATGTAATCCAAAGGGAAATCCAACAGTATTGCCCAACTAAAACCGGAATAAGGAAGGTTATTGAAATGCCTGAGTAAAATTGAAGGGTTTGAACTTTTTCCTTTGTGTTGGGAGGCCAGAACAAATCGGCATTGTTGGTTCAAGTCAAATGACTCAAAACATTGCCTTCTATACATCTCCAAGCTAAATTGATCAAGAATGTAGACAACAAAAAGAAGAGCTGTCCACAGCATTGCCCGTGATTAGTCTCTACCAGTGTTTTATCGAGCAGAAGCAAGATACAGTTCTTCATGGTTCTCTTCAACTTCATCAAATATGGTAATGTCAGAACTCCTATCCTCATGTTTGTCAGCAACTTTGTTCGAAAAGACACCATGTTTCTCAAGTAACTTGATGAACTCCTCATGTTTCTCTTGTCCCTTTTCTTTCAAATGCTCAAGATATGCTCCTAATGCGATGGGATCCAATTTCCCATAACCATCTTCATATCGCATAATGGCTTTTTTCATTGCATCCACAGCCTTATCCATCTCATCATTTTGATGATACCCAATTGCTAGCAGACCCCATGTGCTGCCGGGTATAATCTTACCAGAATCCGCAGTTCTATTTATGAGTGTTTCAGCTTTCGACAGCAAGCCCTTTTTGGTGTAGGCCCTTATCAAGGTGTTTAGGATTTTGAAGTCATATGGAGTGTTTTTCAACTCCCATTCCTGAAAAATCTTCTCCGCTCCACTAATGTCATCCAACCTAACCAAAGCATTCATCATGTAAAAATAACCGAAGTTTCCCACAGGTCCTCTCTTCTTGTACTGATGCCAAATACGAATGACATCGCCTTTGCCACCCAAACTGGCATACATACTAAGCAGATATGTATAGGCAGCAGCTTTATGCCCCTTCATAAGTTTCTCAGCCTTCTTCACCATGTCAAAAGCTTTCTCATCTAGGCCAGCATTTCTGTATCCCTTCGCTACAACCACGCAGACATTCCAATTCACCCTTACTGTGTGGTCATTTTCCATTTTCTCCAAGAGCTTCTCCATAGCCTGAATATTGGAATCTGTACCATATACTGTCAGCAAAATGCAGAATGTTGCTTGGTCATACTTGATGCCTTTCTCTTCCATCTCTTGAACCAGCATATCAATTTTCTCGCGCTTTCCCAACTTAAAGTAGAGGTTCAGCATTACATTGTAAGACAGCTCCCTATAGCAGCCCAATGACCTCATGGTCTGCATGACGGCCTCAGCTTTTCCTTCCAATCTCCTGTGAGCATAGCAATTGAGAAGAGAGCCATACACCTTAAATGTTACCAAAGTATCTGGGAGACTTCTGAAATATTTCTCTGCCTCTTCTAACCCATGCACTCTACAGATTAAATCCAACCTAACTGCAACATCTCCAGGCGATAATTTAGAGTCTACAGTCATCCATTCAGCCAGCTAGAAATCGAAAAATAAAGAATCATGAGATGCAGTTCAAACCTCCTCTCCTTATATTACAGGTCAGTATATCTCAACCAGTTGTTCATGAATCAGTTTATTCAGTATGAAATAATCTTAGTGTGTGAGACAATGTTTCAGTGTCCAATACATAGAGTAGAAAACCCACATCAGAAAATTTCATTTCAGGATTATAACTCTTTCTTTTTGTTGGCAAAACAAGATTCCACTTACTTAAGTAGTGAAACCTCTAGTCAAAACTGATTGGGTGGCACAACCTCTAGTGAATCTATTAAAACTTCCTGGCCATTGGAAATTTTAGGCTCATTGCTACATTACAAATAAACAGAATAGCTGATTCCTCAAAATAAGCATTTTGAGGGAGTTCACCAGTTACGATTGCCTCAAAATACACAAGTAATTGCTGATTCCTCCAAAGAAGCATTTAAGAGACTTCACCAATCAAATTATTGCCCCAAGGTATACATGTTTCCATATGATATTCAGCAGAATCAAACTATTCTACGACCTTCAGGACTGATCTTTTTCAATATACATTACAAGCTTTCATACCGAAATTTTGTAGGCGACAAGTGAAATGAAGTAAAATTGTACTCTTTCTCAAAAAAAATAGTCCACATAAAGTTTTGAGATTTGTATCATTTTTTCTTTTTGGGATGGTATCTAATTTGGTTAACATAATGGACACTCCCAATTTCAAAAGTTACTCTCAGCACAAGGATCAACAAGTTCCGCAAACCATTTCAATTTCAAAATAAACCAGTCTGTGTGATAGCATAAAACTTTTCACTCTCAGAATCATATTACCCTTTAAAAAATCAAGATTAATTTCCAAAATCCAACGCCTGCACTAACTGCAATCACCCTTGCCCCATAACAATTCAGAATATATTACTAACAGAGCAAAAAACAATAAAATCAACAACTTCGCCTGTAATCATTAGCGCCCAAAGCAAAATAAAATTGAAACTGTAGATACAGTTGTAATTTCATTTCTAGCCATCCAAATTAGAACAAATTCATCAAAGATTAAGTAAACTAAATAGTATTAACTAAATACCATACCTGTAAAGCATGAAAGTAGCGATTCTGGTTCCGGAGGAGCTTGAGAAGGACTCTGAGGTGAAGTTGCGAAATGGGTCGGCCTTCTTGTTCTTGGGCCCATTGATTAAGAATGGGAACTATGGAAACCTTATAATCTCCGAGTGGCAAAATTCTCCTGAACAGAGTGTTTGAGGACGATTTTGGGATCCGGGTACTATAATGAGAAAACCCAAATCCCACAGCCGGATTAAGATACTGTTTATTGAAGAAATTTGACAATTTGAGAGCTTTCATCATCTGGAAAGAAGACTGGTTGAGAGCACTGTGTTTTTCTTTTCCCCCAAGTTGGAGGAGGGACTTCGAAGGGTTTTAACAAGGGTTTAGCGTCAGTTTTTCGAATTATTTTATTACTACTCAACGCCTTGAAAGTTATAGATTGATTTTATCCACCTAATTCTAGAGGGAAAAATTCACCAAAATTTATTTACTGTAGCCCTCAATGAAACTGGGCTTTTTCCCAAAAAAAATTAAATAAAATAAACGTGGACAAATTTAAATTTTTCAGAATATTTGTGGACAGAAATATATTGCTCGGATTTCTGAAATCCGAGTTTTGATTAATATTAGAGATTCGGATTTCGCAAATCCGGCTTTATACTTAATAATAAAATAATAATTTCATAAATTTTGATGAATAATAATTTTTTTAGTTCTTAAATGAACAGTTACGCTCGGATTTGTAAAATCCGAGGTTATTTAAAAATTAATAAATCGCGACGCGAAATTTTTGAATCCAAAAAACCGGAAGTCCGTAATCCGGTTTGACAAATTCGGATTTGCGAAATCCGGATGCCTTTAATTTTGGTTGGTGGAAGTAGGCATGTGCCTTAAATTGGAGGACCAAAAAATTAATAAAATAATCCTGAATTGACTAAATTCGTATTTAGGAAATCCGAATCCAACGTAAATCCGAGTTACTTACGGACTCGGATTTTTTAAATCCGAGTTTAACGTGCTATAAAAGAAAAAAAATTTCTTGGATACGTGGAAATCGTATGAGAACTGCGTTGGATTTTCTGTTTTTGCAGCTCAAACAAGGGCGAATTGAAGTTTTTGATGCATTCTTGCCTCTAGATACGTGGAAATCGTTATTTGAAAGAGGTTAGATTGCAAAACCATGTTATTTAGTTTATTTTTGTGTTATTTTTGATTGTTAGAATGATGTATGATAGATTAGGGTTTATGTTGGTTGGTTGTTTGGATGTTTTAGGTGTTGATTTTGTGGTTTAGGGTTGAGAAATCATAGTTGTTCATGAGATATCGAAGTTGATTTATAAGTATTTTAGTATGGTGTATTTGTTGGAGTATGTATGGTGTATGGTGTATTTTAGAGAATGTATGGTGTATTTTGTTGATTTTGTTATTAAGAAATGATTAGTTATTGATGTTTTTTTTAAGAGTTATCAATGGCACGTAATGTATCATACATGCTTAATTTGTATCATACAAGTAAGTATGTGATAGAGAACGGTAGCATCAATACTTTTTCGAATATGCCGGATGATGGTTTGTTTGTCGAAGGAAGGTTATCATATGAGGGATTGATTAGTAAGATTTGTATGACCCTTGGTTGGGATCCAGCACACGTGAAACTCCACCTTTTTTTGATTTTCGATAGTCCCGGTGGTAGGCGTGTAGTGAAGATCAAGAATGATTCGCATGTAGAGTTCATGAACCGTGTAGATCCAATGTCATGTTTGGATTTATACATAGATTTGGAAGATATCACTCAAGAAGAAAGAGAAGCGAGTTTGGAAAACGTGTCATTTGGTGATTTTCGAAGGGGGGAACGTGCTAGTACTTCTCGAAACCGTGATGAAAAGGAGACACCTTTATTTGCACAAAATGACTACGGGGAAGAGTCGGATTCCGACTACATAGCTCCAAGTGAAAGCGAAGAAGACTGTGATGTCTCCGGAGAGAGTGATTTTGAAGAAAGTGATGATGAAAGGTTGGAAAATGAGGAAAGGGATTGTAATCTATTCGCTCGACGCCATGTATATAGTAAGATGGGGAACTGGGATGCCTCATGTGTAGACAAGGATGAGTTTGCTCTTAAAATGTGGGATGAGACGCCCGAAGGAATGGACATTGGTGTTTGTTTCAAATCTCAATCGAAGCAAAGCATCTTTGTGAAATTATGGAACATCCATCATAAAAGGGAATATACGGTCGCGCGAGTAGTCCAAGGACGTGGGGCATGCGGTGCGGAACATTTAATGTGGAAAGTGAGGATGGTGAACCACCATGTGAGTGGAAGATGCGTGTGTCATTGAAAGCTCACGGCCTTCATGAAATTGTGAGATGGCATGATGCACATAATTGCATGACTCCTATGAATGATAATGACAATCGGTGTGTGGACGCGTCTTTGATTGCTAGACTCATCGGAGAAAGGTTGAGGACAACGTAGATTATACGGTAGCCTCGGCACGAGAAAGATGTGAAGACCTTATTGAAAGTAGATGTGCCATACAAAAGGGCGTGGCACGGGAGGAGGAAAGCCATAGAAGCGGTCTATGGTGATTGGACCTCCATTTCGAAGAACTTCCACGGTAAATATCAACTTTTATCCGTGTATTGAAATATTTATAGTATTTTTATTTTTACATGTATTGAAATATTTTAACAATGACTTGTTGTTGTTTAGGTATATCGCTGCGCTTAAGTTTACTAATCCTGAGACTGTAGTAGAGTGGGAATGGAAGGAGGGACAAGAAGGTTGGAACAGGAGAAACCGGACATTTAAATACGTCTTCTGGTCATTTGCACCGGTGGCTGAGACGTTTTTTGAATGTCCACCGGTCATTTGTATCGATGGAACCTTTTTGCGTGGTGGATACAAGGGTAAATTGCTTGTTGCGGTGGTGTATACCGCAAACAAGCACATTGCATTTGCGATTGTTGATGAGGAGACAGTAGAGAGTTGGACGTTTTTTATGAGGAATTTGAGGTTGTGGGTTGTGTATGATAGAATCGTAAGTGTGATATCCGACCGGAATGCAGGGTTGTTGAGCGCAATGTCACAGATGGATGAATGGCGTGATTTAGGTGATGGTGGACACTTTCTTTGCCTCCGCCACGTTCGCAGCAATCTTGTGTCGCGATATAATAGCAAAAAGGTGAAGCGGTTATGTTGGAAGATGGGCACGACGCTTTCAAGAGTGAAATACAACCGTATGAAGGTAGAGCTTATTGAATTCAAACCTGCTGCATGGGAGTATCTTCGAGGGATTGGGGGGAGTAACTGGGCTCGATTGAAAGCCGGTCTTCGCCGTTGGGGCATAGCGACAACCAACATTTCGAGAGTTACAACAATGCGTTGAAAGGGATCCGTTTTTACCAATTAGAGCCTTGATCGATGCAACCTTTCGCAAAGCTGTTAAATTCTATAGAGAAGAACAATTGTCTGCGAGAAATTGCATGACACCGATCCCTCCCGAGTTATGGAAAAATACGAGAAAATGAATGATAAAGCGGCCAGTTTTGAAGCCACCCTTTCGATGGTGATGATGCTATGTGGCGTGTTGTTACTGCTACACGCCTAAGTGGCAGGTGGGTCTCGCATACGGTGAACTACGATGAACATAGGTGTTCGTGCAGGAAGTGGCAAGAGTACCGGATGCCTTGTACGCACGCACTCCAAGTTTGTCAGAGAAAAGGGGATCGGCCTATTGATCTATACCATAGTGTGTGGCGCCTTCCAACGTGGCGCAGACAATTTCATTATACGGGCTTTGTTCCGGTTCCCGATGAGGAACAATGGCCGATGGTCAGTTGGAACATCATTCCGAATTATGAGCGTCTTGTGTTGCATGCGGGACCGGGATGAAGACAAAAAAGGAGACATAAAATGCAAATGGATTACAGGGGACGCCGGAGCCGGGGGGAATGTTGGAGATGTGGACAACTAGGTCATGATGCCAATTCTTGTCCGTTCTCGCACCCAGGAGTAGATAGAAGACCTGTGAATGACAGCTGGAATTGAGAGTCATTTACTGTTCTTGCAAGTTATTTAGTGTTTGATAAATTTATGTGAACATTGATAAATTCGGATTGTAATGTGAACATTGAATTTTTCGGATTGTAAAGTGTGATGAAATATGTACTATTTTTCATAACAGTACATCGGATTGTGCAAAATACTCATCATTGTAAGGTAATGTGAAGGATTCGGATTTCTGAAATCCGAGTTTAGAGTTTTTTTTAGAAATTGCGCAGGACTCGGATGTCTGAAATCCGAATGGGTGAAACCCATCCGAGAGTTGCAATTTGAGGAGAAACAGGGTAGATTCGGATTTTATAAATCCGAGCTCAGAGATTTTCTCGAATTTACTAAGAACTCGGATTTAGGAAATCCGTGTTTATGAAAAGTATTCGAGAGTTGAAATTTGAGGAGAAACAGGAGAAATTCGGATTTTGTAAATCCGAGCTCAGAGATTTTCTCGAATTTACTAAGAACTCGGATTTAGGAAATCCGTGTTTGTGAAAAGCATCCGAGAGTTGAAATTTGAGGAGAAACAGGGGAAATTCGGATTTTGTAAATCCGAGCTCAGAGATTTTCTCGAATTTACTAAGAACTCGGATTTAGGAAATCCGTGTTTGTGAAAAGCATCCGAGAGTTGAAATTTGATAAGAAACAGTACTAACTCGGATTTCGCTAATCCGAACTCAGAGTTTATTTTTAATTTGCAAAGGACTCGGATTTGAGAAATCCGTGTTTGTGAAACCATCCGAGAGTTGAAATTTGGGGAAATAGGGAAGACTCGGATTTAGCAAATCCGAGTTTGACGGGACTATATATTGTTCCGTCAACTCTTCCCTTCCCATTTTTCCCCCAATTCCAGAATTGAAAAACCCTAAAACTAAACTTCAATTAAACAAAAATCCGGCTACTCCCACCACTCAATCCGGCGACTTCCTCCACTCCCTCCGTGATTTCCGACGACTCCCACCACTCTCCGGCGACTCCATTTCCGGCGTCTCTCCTCCCTCTGGACAATCCGGCGTCTCTCCTCCCTCTGGATAATCCGGCGACTCCTTGCAATCCGGCGACTCCCTGCGAGACTCTCCACCGCCGGCGACTTCCTCCACTCCTCCCGACTTCCTCCATTCCTCACTGTAAGTTTGAAATTCGCGATCCTATCTTTTTTTTTTGTCAAAATTTTTATTTTCTTTGTGAAATCCGAGTCCTTTTTTTTTTTTGAATTGTGGTTGGTTTGTGTTGATATAGTGTTTGTGTTGAATTTAAATTGTGTCTATTGTGAATTGCTTATAGATGTGGTGTTGATATAGTGTTTGTGTTGGATTATCGTTGTGTAAATAGTGAAATGTATATAGTAGTTTGGTAGTGTTGTTTATTTGTTTGTTTATGGTTTGGTTGATTTGTTTTTTTGGCCGAGTGTAATCGTTTGGTTGATTTGTTATTTGGCCGAATGTATATAGTTTGGTAGTCTTGTTTATTTGGCCGAATAATTTGAAGTTTGGTTGATTTGTTTTTTTTGGCCGAGTGTACATCGTTTGGTTGATTTGTTATTTGGCCGAATGTATATAGTTTGGTAGTCTTGTTTATTTGGCCGAATAATTTGAAGTTTGGTTGATTTGTTTTTTTTTTGCCGAGTGTACATCGTTTGGTAGTTTTGTTATTTGGCCGAATGTATATGGTTTGGTAGTCTTGTTTATTTGGCCAAATATTTATGGTTTGGTTGATTTATTTTTTTTTGGTTACCCTGTGTAGGATTGAAATGGCGACGCCGGCATCGGGCTCCCAATATGACTATCAACCTAAACATCTTCACCCGGGACCTATACAAGATAAAATGCTATATCGTCAAACAAAGCATAGGTCCCAAGCTGTCTATGAGAACAGGATACCGGACATTAAGACATTCCGCCTCAAGGGCCGTAGGTACGGCAGCGATTTTTGGGCGTTATATAAAAATACGGCACCGGAGGTTAAGGAAGTCATTAGGAGAGCCGGTTTTGAGGGGATCATGAAGGTAGGGTACAAAAGAGTTGATCTAGGCCTCATTACCGCGTTGGTGGAACGGTGGAGGCCAAAAACCCACACTTTCCATTTTAATTTCAGTTCAAAATAACTCAACGTTTAATTCTATTTGTTTCTTATTCATTTATTTCACTAATTCAAATGTACCCCTTTGTTTATTAAGGTGGGAATGTAGGTACACGTACGGCGACGCCCCAAGGAGCAGCACTCCACCGTTTAGAGATCAATTAACAAGTCTGCGTGTTGAAGATGTAAGTACTTGTAATTTGGTATTTATATTTACTTTGAGATCAATTACCCCTTTCTTTTGGTTTCGGTTGTACCATTTAATGAAATTTTTTTCGTGCAGTTTCGGTGGCAACCATATGCACATGTCCTCCATAGACTCCCTGATTTCTGTACACAAGGCCAAGCTATTTGGACGACTAGGTGTTGGATGTTCTGTTGGGCTATTAGGGAACCCCACGAGTCGGGCAGAGTCGTAAGACAATTTGGATACATACAGGATGTTCCCAAGCGCCCCATGATTAAAGATAACGCAGCATTCCTTCTCGATCACGCCCACAGTATGTCTGGGCATCCTAGCAATAATTGGGAGGATCACCATTCCGCAGTACGCCGTCATTGGAATAGGAGAGAAGAGTTCGTGCTACGAGATTTGGAGGAAGGAGATCCTGGTTCCGTATATGAGGGGTACTATGAATGGTTTATGGTGAACACTGTCAGATTGATATCCAATCCCGGTAATTATGAACCTCAAGGATACGAGACTTCTTCAAGCCGCGTGAAATTATATGTGAGTTAATTGTAGATTTCTTTTATTATTTCTTATGTTTCCATTTTTTTTTCATTTTTTTTTAGAACTTTACTCTCTTAATTAACGTCCCAATTTCTTTTCAGGGTGAAGTATTGAACAACATTCGCGTGAGTACCGAGAGGTTTAGAGAAAACGAGAAGATGATAATCTCTAGACGAAGAACTTGACAAGCATTTGGACGATATCATCAATCAAACACATGCCGCTTTAACCTTGGGCGCAAATGATGAGATGGAGGTGGATGATACCCAAATCCTGGTTGATGAAGATCCATTTTTCCCTCACAACCTCCGCCGGGTAAAAAGCGAAACCGTGGTCAAGAGATAAGATTGGAGGAGGAAGAAAGAGAAAGGTCACAATCCCCTCGGACATCGCAACAACAAACCGAGGTCAACAAAATGAGGATCAAGCACATTCCTCTCGAGGCTCGCGCATTCAGGTCGAGACTCATTTTGAAGAAGCTGGTGGACCCGAGACTCAGTTTGACATTGGTGGACCCGAGACTCAGTTTGACATTGGTGGACCTGAGACTCAGTTTGGTAGACAGTCGCAACCACAACCGGAGTCAAATTTATCACTATGGGGGAGTCCCAATCTCAACCCCAAATCGAGGCTCAGTTTGGTGGACAGTCGCAACCACACCAAAGTTCAATACTCACATATCTTAAGAGGGGAGACAGGATCCGACAGGGCCCAAACAAATACACTCCGGATGCGCACAATAAAGGAAAAGGAAAAAATGAGACATTTCATTATTTTGGACATTTATAGTAGTTTTTGTATTGAACTTTTTATGAAACTTGATTTATTTTGTTGTTAATCGAATGCCGTTTATTGTTTTGTTGTTATTAAATTCCTATTTTCCAATGTTTCATTGTTGTTGGTCTTTATAAACATGTTTAGGATGGTGAAAATCAGTCCAATTTTTTTCGATTCGACAAAGACTCGGATTGCGAAATCCGAACCCGGACTTTTCTAAAGGATTCGGATTTGAAATCCGAGTCCGTGGCAATGGGAGTCACCATTTTTCGAAAACAGAGCAGATTCGGATTTCGGTAATCCGAGTTTTGCCCAAATTTAATTTTTCAACACATTATTTTTTCTCTATCCGGAAATTAATATTTTATTCATAAAATCGGATTTATAAAATCCGGATTTAGATTAATTACACAAATTTTTGTCATTAACTTAATTTCAGATTTACGTAATACAAAGTCGGATTTTAATAATCCGAGTTGAGTTGGGGTCGGATTTCCGAAATCCGAATTTGCCCCCCATTCGAATTTCCTAAATCCGGGGCATATAAATTTGTCCACAAGGTTTTAAAAAGCTTTATTTTTGTCTAGGTTTTTTTTTTACATATATTTAAGGAAAAAATTCCAATGAAACTCGTGTACAAAAATAAAATTGAATCCGGAGCTACGTTAGAAAAAAGATTTGATTGCTTAAAAACCCTTCCAAGGCCTCTCCTGATTTAGAATTGTCAGGTTACAGAGATAATTTTCTTTTTTTGAAAAAAAGTTTAAAAAAATAATAATAGTAAACCATCTCTTGAATCTTTCTGATTCATCGAGTTTGTTCATGAAGTATTGGTTAAATGGCACCTATTGTTCTTCTTCATTGTGACAGTTTTTTTTTTTTTTTTGGTTATTTATTTATTTTCCTTTTAAACATGTAATCCCTTTGTTCTAAAATTACTGTCCAATTTGCATTTTCACATGTAGTTCAAATTGTATTAAAAATAAAAACTCAAACTGGACAATAATTATGGAATGGAGAAGACAGGAATGGTAGAAAACTAACTAAACTATCCCAAGGCCATCGTATATTTAGAACTTAGATTAGAGTCATAGATTATAATAGAGAAGCAATCCAAAAAGAACACCTAAGCTATTGTGCAAGTAAAATGGGTTGCAGCTTTTCGTTTCTTTTAATTGGAGGCTGCATTTCTCCAATTGGACAAATCCGAATGCCCACACAACGCATAACTGGCACGCCAAAGCTAAATCCAACAAGAACTAGTCTAGCTCATGTTTCGTAATTGCAGGGCTGACCTTTTTTTTTTGTTTTTCATGATGGGATTAGAAATATTGAACCATAAACAGAGCCTTTACGGAGACTGAAACTTCGTTGGTTCCCAGTCAAAACAGTGCCTTTATGGAGACTCAAAAAAAAAAAAAAAAAAATTCATGGAACGCCAAGTCAATCAAGTAGACACTAAAAGAATAGCTGTTCCGAGCACGGCTCATGATTAGTCTCTAGCAGCATTTGATCCCGAAGACAAAAAATCAAGTTCTTCATGGTTTGCTTGGAGTTCATCAATTGTACCAGTATCAGAACCTCCATTCTCATGTGTTTCCGCAAATTCATTCAAGACGATACCATGTTTATCAAGTAACTTAGCGAATTCCTCATGTTCTGTGTCTCCCTTTTGCTTCAAATACTCAAGACATGCTCTTAGTGTACTGTCATTTAATTTCCAGTCATGGCCTTGATGAGCAACAACAGCCTTTCTCATCGAGTCCACAGCGTTATCCATCTGATTATCTTTACAGTACATAGTTGCTAGATGATTCCATTTGTTGGAACGTACCTTCCTTCCGGAATCTACAGCCCTATTAAACAGTGCTTCAGCTTTAGGCAGCAAGCCCTTTTTGGAGTAGGCATTTATCAACGAGTTTGGGATTCGAAATTCATGTTTAGTCTTCGCGGACTCCCATTCCTGAAAAACCTTTTCCGCGCCATCAATATCATCCAATCTAACCAAACAGCTCATGATGTAAAAGTAATCAGTGTTAGCTACATTTCCCCTCTTCTTGTGTTTATTCCAGATCTGAAGGACTTTGTCTTTCTCACCCAAACTCGCATACATACTAAGTAAAATTCTGGAGGCCAATCTTCCATCCCTTCCGACAAGTTTCTCTGCCTTCATCAGCATTTCGGAAGCTTTGTCAGCTAGTCCTGCCCTAAGGTATCCCTTCGCTACAACACAATAGACGTCCCAATTCACCCTAGCTAGGGGGTCATTTTCCATTTTCTTGAAGAGCTTCTCCATAGCTTGAATATTGGAATCAGTAGCATATGCATTCAGCATAACGCAGAACATGGCTTGGCAAAAATTAATGCCTTTCTCTTCCATCTCTTGAACTAGCTTATCAAATTTCTGACGCTTTCCCAACTGAAGGTAGAGGTTTAACATAAGACTGTAAGATAGACTCATATCACAATCCAATGACCTCATGGTCTGCATGATGGCCTCAGCTTTTCCGACTTCTCTCCTCTGAGCATAGCAATTGAGAAGTGAGCCATAAACCTTAAACGTTACCAATGTATCAGGGAGACTACTAAAGTACTTCTCTGCCTCTTCTAATCCATGCACCCTAGAAATCAAATCCAACCTAACTGCAACATCTCCAGGTGATAATTTAGAATCTTTAGTCATCCATTCAGCCAGCTAGAAAGAAAATTGATGAAACATGAGACCCAGGTTCCAAACATCCAACAATTTATGGGAGATAAACGCAGACAATTTTTAATCCAAACCAACTGCCTACTGAATGAAGAATAGCTAACATTCAGGGAGCTAATGCGGTCAACTCAATTAAAGTTTTAACATTACAAGGATTGACACTCTCCTAGTTTGATTAAGTTACAATTATTGACCAGATTCCTAGTTTCCTTTCTATTAGAAATCTTATTTATCATTTCAATGTTCAACATAATACAGTTTGATATATAAGTAATCAGTTATTTACAAACCAGGATCTCTAAATGTCATGTTGTCATTACTATAAAAAGGAGAAGACCCACACATTCAGATTGTTTCCCAAATAAACAACTCTTTAAGAAGCAAAACCAATCTATCTTGAATTGATTGCGTGACAATTCATCAATCAATTTAAGAGCCCCGGCATTAAAAATATAAGGCACATTGCTAAATCACGATTAAACTTTATTGTTCATTACTCCAAAGAAGCTATTGATGGAGTTCACCCACACGTCTTTCCCCAAGGTATACATGTTGTCCAGAGGATATGTAACAGATACCAACTATTCAAATGGCCTTTCTAAGTTCTCATACGTTAAATCTGTTGGTGGCAAGTAAAATGAGGTTCAATTGTTTCACTAGTTAACACAAGGGACTTTTTCCGTCAACAAAACTAATAGGAGAGTTCTAAATTTACAGAATAATACTTTCCTACCGATGTAACATGCTCACCGGAATCCTATATTTTACTGCACATCATTCAGCCGAATACCACATTGATGTCTACACAAGGTGTTGTGCTGGGCCAAGGACAGCTTGCAGCATAGAAGTCTAATTTTACGAATATAAGGCTCAAAAGTTTTGATGTTGCTTCAAGTACATTCAACAAAACTTCCCGCATCAACCCAAGAAAAAATGATAACTCAGCACAAGGATAAACCATTTCAAAATAAATCAGTCTGCATGATGATGACATAAACGTTTCACTCAAAATCATTTTAGCCATCTTAGAATTCAAGAGCAATTTCCAAAAATCCAACTTCTTACTGAACTTGCCATAGCCACAAAACATATACCAAAAGATAATAACAAAACAAAAGAAAAAAAACCTTCTTAGTTGCATTTTTAAAAAAAAATATTCAAAGCAAAATATGTTTGTAACCGATCAAAATCAATAAAATCCCAACTTCGCCGTGGTAATTCTAAACGCCTAAAGCAAAATAAAGTACAGAAATCACACATTTCCGTATTCTACAACTGCATTTCAGGCGTAATACAAACTTAATTTCCACTTCTACATTCAATACATCCATTTCCGAAGGCTAGTTCAGGACAATTCCTATGATAATTTAGCAAAATGATACTCCAGACAAAAATCTAGTAAAATAAAAGAAGGGCATACCTGTAAAGCATGAGCATATCGATTCTTGTTTCTAAGGAGTTTCAATAAGGTTCTGCTGTCAGATTCTTGAATTGGTCGGCCTTCTTGATCCCATCGCTCTAGAATGGGAACAATGGAAACCTTAGCATTCCCGCGGGGTGACAAAATTCTGCTGAACAGGGTTTGGGTACTGAAGAAAGAAAACCCAGTCCAAATCCGATTCGATTTCTGCAAGACATTCGACAGCTTGAGGGCTTTCAACATCTGGGCAGACTGATGAGTGATGACAGAAACCGTTCTTTTTTTTTTTTTCAGGAGGAGGAAATTAGGAACTCTTTGAAGGGTTTGAAGGTTTTAGTGAGGGTTTAAGAATTCAGATATCAGCTTCTGGACCGGGTCATGGACCATCTAAACGGATCATTTTTTTTTTTTATTATTAAAACACCACAAAAATACAATCCACACATCCTTAGTTTCTAGTTTGTAAGTATTCATAAAATTAATATAATTTATAAATTGTACTATAATATGATTTTTTTTTTTTTTTTTTTTAGTCTTTCCAAACAACCTTTGCTGATTACTGCCGTATATGATGAAGGTACTGTTACATACAATGTGAAGATTACTTCCTTTGCTATCTAAAAATAGATTTCATTTTTTCCCCCAGTAATCTCTCAACAAAGATTTTTTAAGAAATTAGTCTTAGTAACCGAAGTACAGTAAAGGGAAAAAAAAAAAAAAAAGCCAGCATATCGAGTAATTAAAGTGTTCTTGGAATATCGATCATCCTATAACATTTTCTCAACTAGTTGGAGGTTTGAGAGAAAAAAGGATTTGAGCCCTCGACACATTCAAAGTTGGTTTGACTTGTGTTATCTCTTGAAGGCCCAAATATAGATCCACATGTGGTTCCACCTCAAAACCAATTGACAATGAGGGAAGTAGCACATGAGGTATATATGTTGAGTTCAAGAGTCTTCATCCATTCATGTGGGACAATGGAACATGAGGTCATTTCTTTCTTTCATTCATTTAACATTATCTTATCGGAAATGGAAGATTGTCAGATTTTCAACTTCAGTTTAGCGCATATATTCGAACAAATAAATTATTATTTACGAAATGTGTATATTTGTAACAAAAAATTATTGTAAAAAAAATACTGCAAGTTGAGACAACGTTTTTGTGTTGAGAGTATTGTATTAACGTTGGCAGATAAGATCATGAAGGCACCTAATTTGTCGAGGCCTGACTCAGAATGGTCGGTTGACTGTTAATCTCATTGGTTTGCAGAATTATCTTCCTCATTGACTATTTTTTTCGCCAAAAAAAAAAAAAATTAACACCCCTGATTTATAATATAAAACTCCTAGGTACACATTGCAAGTTGTACTTAGTTTGAAATTCACGCGTCCAAAAAGGGGAGAAAAAAAAGGGAGATTTTCAAATATTCAATTTCTGGATATTCCTCCTAATTTTCAGCCATTATTAATCATATCCAATTTCATATTCCAATCTAAAAACGTTTCAAAAAAAAAATCCAAAAAAACAAATATTCGCCACGGTGGTATGAAAATCTCTCGTCGGCGGTATTTTGGAAGACGTTATCTGATTGTGCATCAAATCCTATGAGTTTGATTGCAATATACGCTGCTGGATATGAGAATTAAGGAAAGATTGGAGATTATTCATCTGTTTTGTGTTTTGTTTGGTGAATCTTGTTTGAAATTCTCAAAATCTTTCATGTAGAGAATCAGTTTTATGTGTTTACTCCATAGATCCAGTTATAAGAATGGTTCTTTTTAATACCGAATCATCCATGTAGATAGAACGATTGAGGATCCTGGTTTAAAAAGAAGCAGTTCGGAAAATGAAGATGAAGGAAGGTAATACTATTAATCTGTTCAACAATTGATGCGTTTTTTAGATGGGTTTTGTTGATTTAGGGTATATGCATTTGATTATAAATCTTTGTTCATCAATTTTTAAGTTTTCTTCATCGTATTTGCTGTGTTTATGGAAGATACTAATAGATATGGATGTTATTCATTAGTTCGTATTCAATATTCATCCTTGAAATACGTAAATCTAAGGTTCCTGCATTCGTTTATAGATAGTTGTTCACCAACTTGTAAGATTTGTTCATCCATTAGTTGTTGAGTTTGAAGGATTTTCCATCGCTTCACTAGTCATTAGTTACCCAACCATTATTCATCGATATTAAAGGGTTATTCATCATAATAATTGCGTTACGCGATTGTTATTCATTATTTTAGTTGTTGTTATTCATTATTTTAGTTTTTGTTCATCGACTACAGTCTAACTGTTCATCAACTATTCTTTGTTATTGAAATAGTTAGGCCATATATGTTCATTATTCATCATTATTGTCTTGATAACTCATCGTTATAATGTGTAATTATGAGTAAAAATGTGATTTTTTTAAAAAAAAAAATTCTATATATTCATCATTGTATTGTGCTTATTCATTTTTTTAGCTTTTGCTATTACAACAGTATTGCATATGTAAGGGCTGAATATTCATATGCTTGTTCATTAGTATTGAAATTTTTGTTCACCAGTTGGTATTCATCACATATATATGGTTATTTTCAAGTGATTTTTAATTATTCATTACATATGAATATGTTATTCATTTGTTTATTAATGTTGTCCTTTCTTGACATAATGCATCAGTAAGGATAGAAGGAAACAATCGGAGGTTGAAGCAAGTAGAATCACTAGAACTGAAAAAATCTCATCACCAGCTGAAATGTTCATCAAGATGAGCTCGATCAGTTGGGAATCAAATATTTTGGTAGAATTGCTAAAATCAAACAATCAACATAAAAGTATCGAGTATCGGCGAATCATTCAAGACCTTATATGTTAAAAACAATGACTAATGTTTTGTTCATTTTTTGTCTAGTATAATGCATAATTAAAAGATTGTTAGCTTAGTTACTAACATTAGTTCATTGTGGACGAAGCATGGATCTGCACCAACGTCTCCAGTTGATTGAACCGGCCATGGAGGCATCAAAATCCTAAAACCTACAAAAGAGGGCATCGGGGTCTCCCGAAGGTAGACACTCTGATGCTTAAGTCAGTAAGAGTAATTGTAATAGGGGTATGAATTGTGGTGCGTAGAGCGTACCTTTGATGTGAGGGGTTGATCCCTATTTATAGAGCTTGGTTATGAAACCCTTTCTTTGTAGGAAAGTAATTAGGAACCGACCTAGAAACTTCCAAATAATCAGTTGGATTGTTTCTCGAACTTGAGGGCCGCATACATTGGACTCGTCAAGTACCCTAAGCCTATATTTTGAAGTCTGGAGATAGTGTAGGCTTGATAACATGAAGTATATAGTTTCCTCAAGTTCGAGAAAAACGGACTTTTTGAATCGAGAACCTGTGACAGGTTAGCATCGAGGAGAAATCAAAGCAATGGAAGCATTAGTGCGTACCTTGTCGAATGTACGCGTCACAAAGGGCGATTGACATTACGCCAATTTGTAAAGAAAGAAGAGTTATCAGTTCAAGTTTTCGAGCGAGAAGTCAATAGGTGATGACCTTAATAATCTACCCCCTTACTCATCTCGGAGCCCCCGAGTCTTGGGGTGGCATTTGGCAAACCGAGACTTTTAGATGAGAGTGTAATTTTCGCTGCTCAATTCGAGGCGGTGCTTGATAAAGAAGCCCCCGTACTCATAGGGTTAAGGCAATAAAATGGCGTCCATCAAAAGGAGATGGATGGCAACCACCATAATCGAAGAAATAGGCCTATGTTGACAAGGCACAAAGTGAACTCGAGAACATCAAAAATAAATTCATTTTCTTTCTGATGCATTGGATGATATAATAGATCGATCTAAGAAAGTATACTCGAGAACGAGTCTAGTTCTCATTAAGGTATGAAACACGTGTGTTTAGGTTTGAGGGCTAGTCCTCCACTTGTTCATGAACATGGCAATCTAGGCCTTTTTCAATACCGGATGTTGAGTACACGGCTTATAAGTACTTGTAAAACACTTATAATGGCCGGATGTTAAGTACATGGCTCTTTTGTAGGCGATCCTAAAGAGGACACCTTTGTATAGACGATTCTGAAGAGAATGTCTTTTCAAGGACGATCCTGAAGAGGATATCCGCGAGGAAACTGGATACGAGCTCCTCAAGTTTAGACTTTTAGTCGTAACAGTTAAGGGTAGCATGACCCAATGAATGTTCGGATGTTGAATACACGATACTTTCGAGGACGGTCCTGAAGAGAATGTCCGTCTCGAGAACGGTCCTAAAGAGGATGTCCGTTCAAATGACTAGTCGTGTTTAACTGGGTATATATGATACGCCAGCTCCAATAAGTACTCGAGTGGGTTACCACTATGTGGTTTAGACCGATAGTCTATATCCCGGGTTTAAAGTATAAATGCCCTAAGGTCAGGGCGAACTTGATGTTGCCGTTATCCTCGAGGGATCATCTGCGAGATTTATGTATTTCTGCCTTTTTTGCTCCAGAGTTCTCGGAGTATGTCTATCCTGCAATTTAGTCCAAGACATGTATTGCAAGTATAATAATGACATGCTTAAACAGTGTCAAATTCAACTAATAAGCACATGAAAACACTCAAGTGTAATATGTCGTTCTCCTTTACCAAAGATGTACACCCAAAGGCTCGTTCGAGCGTACCTTGATTTAGAGGGAAGAATTCATCTGAATTCTTTCATGATAATTGTTGAGGATGTAATGTTCTGATGGTGATGCCTCTCGAGCACAGGCACCATGATAAACCACCATAGTTCTCTGATCCTGACAAAATACCTACTCATGCATCGTAGATTTATTAGTTGAGTAATAAATTATGGAAGCACGAGAAATGATATAGAATTCAATATAGTATTGGGGGAGTCTACCCCCTTCAAAAACAATCATTTTGAGATGGCAACATTTAGTTAGTTGTTCGGTGGAGTAGACACAACGATCAATTGCAACTCAGTGCTCAAGGGAGAGAAAATATCCTGTAGTGTGATCTTTAGAGCATATTACCGACAACTGTAAGTAGGAGAGGGGTATCTTTCCCCTTTTAAAACATAATGAACACGGCCTTATTATTGACTTTAAGATTAGTCGGAACGTTTACGCGTGGAGAGTAAACAAAGCCATGTATATGTAAAAGCTGTAACCTCGTGTTTCAATACTAATGTGCCATGAGGTAACTAATTGGTAAATCAATCATGCATTTGAGAAAGACTTTTCATGCAAGAAGTTCGCATTTGAAAGTTTGAGGACACTGAAGAGGTCCAAGAAACTCATATGTCTAATGTGTCATAATAAGAGTGCAAGAACAATCATTCCATGCTTATGAACTACCGTAACATTCATGTTATGATGCGGATGTTCATATATTGAAGCAATTATAAGAAATTGTACCACTTATCTATTGGCACTCTTCCAGGGGTATCCACAGGTTAGAGTAGTAATACCCATTTGTCGAGAGACTCCTCATTGTTATCGAGGGAGCTCGTTCTTGACATGCACCCTGTATTGGTTCTTCATTTGTCTGAGGCTACTGCAGCCTGATTACAATCTCACATCATAGAGGGGCTATCTCCGTTCTCATGTTTCTGCAAGTTTTGCAAAAACTTGAAGAAGTTCTCCCAAAACTCGAGCATGCCTTTATGATGAAAGGTCCTGCATTGTTATTCTCAAGACCATACAGTAACGGCTTTTTGAGAAAGATGGAGGTAATCAACATAAAGTGCTATGGTTAGAATTTAGATCGTCAATAGCAATTAAACTCCACTCGAGAAAGCATAGATGACACGATTATGTAAAGGGTAGGTAGTGGCTGATCATGAATGTAATGATACAAAAACTAGCAAATTCACACATTGCATGCATAGAGAAGAGATTAACGATTAACTCCGTCGATTATGCCCTAATTCTATGGTTCGATTTTATAGTCTATGTGATTTGAGATAATAAATCAGTCATTACATGCATATTAAATTTATCGTCACAACAATGATGCCAGTGATATTTGGTTCTCGATTTATGAGTCCATCTCAGCCTCTATAAATCGACTGAGTGGATCAGGGGATGACACAAAAATATGCATGTGCGATATTTTCAAATATGTACTGTTTATTCGAAAAGCTCTAGTATCTGGAGAGCATGTAATTGACAAGTAGTGTTACATGTACAAGTCATATGGCATGTCAAAGAATGTTGTCATGCAAGTTGCATATAGTTCTCGTGAGTATATCGAAGGACATATCATGCTAACAATTTCAGATTAAATATGTACAATGTATTAGTCTTGGGATGGAAGTGAAATATCCCATATTAAAGACTCATAATTTATGTAGGAAGGAGTGTTTCAGCTTGTGCTGCCGAAAACAAACGAGTGGCCTTGTACTCAAGTCTTGAGGAAGTTGTGCGCGTCTTCGAGGAGATGTGACCTTTGAGATATCAGGTCGCCCCTTGCTATAAAGTTAGAACTTGTATGAAAAACCATGAAACCATTAGAGGCAAGAATGATAAATAATATCCAAAGGAACTGAAGAATGAATTCCGCTTAGTTAAAGAGAATTTTGCCCAGGCATGTCCTTTGACAGTCCAGGGGAAAGATTTAGCGTCACAGTATAAATAATAAAATCACTAAGGACCATTTCACAATTTTTAGAAGATTTAGAATCCTTGTCGAGCGGCTGTGGCTGCTTGGATTTGTGCCGTAACTGGAGGCTTCGTAGCCCTCGCTGGCTGATTTGTATCTCGATCTTGTTTGGTTCGAGGAGGCTGTGTAGTCTCTCGAGTGCCCAGTTGACGGGTAGTAATTTCCTTAGTCAACCATAAAATCAAAAGATTTATCGTAAAAAATTATGGCTGATAAGAATAAAACAATTATGCTCAAATAAAGAAACCAACATCAATGTCTTTGTGTCAAAGGAATTCATTATGTGTATGCTTTACATGTCACTGAACCATTGAAATTACACGATTGATTAGTCATGGCAATTTATGAAAAATGAAAATAACGGAGTTGATTCTTACGTAAGGGGTACTAACCCGATTGAGACACATCCATCTACGTCGAAGATACTCTTAATTATCACAAAAGATTGAGTTTGTGATTAAGTCCATTAGGTGAGAGGTTTTGTATGGATTATACACTCTCGAAAGAACACGAAATTAAAAAGCACCAGAGAACTAGGGATATCACTAGTTGGCATCATAGAGAAGGGGTGTTGTTTTATGTATTAGCTTCACAGTAGAGGCATAAAAGCTTCAAATGAAATTATGTGTATACTTTAATGTATGCAACCAAATCATGATCAATATTTAATTCAGGACATACAATCTGGATGTTGGGACATGTCAAAGCTTGAACGTATAATCATGGTTGCTCCTTGGGCTACAGGAACGCACCACTCAAGACTACAAATTAATTAAAAAATCCACCTTTTCAATTAAAAGGTTTCAGATGTGAGTATTATGAGGACAAGTCTATACGTGTGGTATTTAATAGACCCTTTAGTGGTTGCTAAGGGAATTTTGCTAATGATTAATTTGCATGCATGATCAACAAGAGAGTTTACGTGATCAACTATGCATGAAAAACGAAGAAACAACCAAGCTGCTTAAAGGTAGTGGGTTAACTAATAAGGCTTAACCACAAATTTGCACGAACCGAGAACATGTAAGAGTGGTATCATGGCATACTGATAACTCCATAAAAGAAATAAAGCAGTTGTCAACACGTCAAATTAAAATGTGTAGGAAAAGTAGTCTGACCGGGAATTGTCACCCGATGTTTCTCAATCGTTGAGGAGGATACGTATAGTCCGTGTACCTCCACCAATTAAAAAAAATTGTTCAGAAGGGAAATGCTACGGGTCCTATTGGGTATGCCACTTGACGAAGCATGAATTTGCACCAATGTCTCCAGTTCATTGAACTGGCGGCCATGGCGGTATCAAAATCCTAAAACCTGCAAAAGAGGGCCTCGGAGTCTCCCGAGAATAGACACTCTGATGCTTAAGTCAGTAAGAATAATTGTAATAGGGGTATGAATTATGGTATGTAGAGTGTACCTTTGATGTGAGGGGTTGATCTCTATTTATAGAGTTAGGTTATGAAACACTTTCTTGGTAGGAAAGTAATTAGGAACCGATCTAGAAGCTTCTGAAATAGTCGGTTGGATCGTTTTTCGAACTTGGACTGGCCACGGTTGAGGGCCGCATATATTAGACTCATTAATTGTAAAATATATTCTCGTTAGTTTTGTTAATCAAAGTTATTCATTCTGTTGCACAATATTCATCCACTAACGACATTTTATTCATTCATTAAGTTACAATTATTAATCTAACAAAGCTATATATATTCTTCATTCTAGTGTTGTTATTCAACTAGGATGAGATCATTATTCATCAAAATTTGTTTTGTTATTCATCTTTGTAAATATTGTTATCCATTTCAAAATTTAAATTTATTTATCCATAATTTTATCACTATAAAAATATCATTATTCATCAATAATATTATCATTATTCATCGATAAGTATACCATTATTCATTCAAACAAATGTCGTTATTTATTAAAATCTTTCAAATTTGACCCTTAATTCTCAACATTCCCTCGTTAATCAGTTAAAATTTTTTACTGCAATTGATTCTCTAGATTCATATTCAATTGATGAACCATATTCAATTTTACCAAAATAAAATTCATTGTTATAAAAGAAAAAATTCTCATAAAATAAAATAAATAAATAAGCTAATAGGATAAGATCTGGAGGTTTAAAACGCGTGCTAAAAAAAAGGGATAGAATCTGATAATTTTAATTCAGTTTTAATGCGCGTGTGATATGGACTACCAACTCCACTCTCTTTTGCCAATTTTGTAATACACACACCTCCTAGATACACATTGCAAAGTGTACCTACGTGCTTGTTATTATTTGCCCCCTCCAAAAAATACTAGTACTACTACATAAGGTCAATTAAACCATAACCTTTTTCTGTCTAGAAAAGTAGTCCAACATTCCACGTGCAATTCAAGCCCGCAACTTAAAAACATACGTGAAACGTGTGAGAGATCCTTCTCGATTTGTTTATCTTCAAGCTAAGATCAAAATTAAGGCAGTTAAGTCTAACCAAATGTAATGCACCGGAAGATTTAAGGCCAAAAACTCAAGGAAATCGGAGTAATTGGAGGATTTGATCGGAAAAAATTGAAGACGGCTAGGGTTTCTGAGAAGCCCCCGAAGGGAAAACACATTTTCAATTCTAATTCATCATCTTTTCCATAATGAAATTACAACCCCTGATAGCCTATTCATAGTGCCTTAGTTTAGTAAACTACAGATAGATCCCTACACTATGGAATTGAGACGTCATGACAAATTCCCCATTCTCTAAAAACAGTCTTGGGGAGTCTTGTCCCCAAGACTGTTAATACAGAGACCTACTTAAAACTGAACAAACAGAAACGGGCACGAATGCCTTATTACAAAACAAACGGCAACTTAGACAAAAACGCCTGACAACAAGAATAAAACAAAAACAGGAAATGAAGGCTTGAAGAACCCCCTGGAGAGAGAGCTGAAGCTACTTCATTGATGATTCTTCTTCTGAGCCCAAACAATCAGTAGTTCCAACCAAGCAACCTTCCAAATGAAGTTTGATTCTTTCAGTAATGTCAGACGCTTCCAGTGACCTTCAAATTCTAGGACACCAGCACTGAAACAAGTAGACATTTGAATCCAATTCTCTATTTTAAACAACATGGTTCCTCCCCTAAAACCAGTTGCCCTCTCAACCCAAGCTTTACACCACAGTTGGTTCACAGGCATAGGAGAGGCTTTACCAACTTCAACAGGGTTCTCATCCAGCATGTTCAACCAGAAACCAGTGCTACAATTCACTCCAAAGCTATCAACGGTCAAATTCAAGCAGACCCTTGTACCCCCTCTAAAACGAGATACCAACAGCTCCCAAGATTGATCCCGATTAATCATTCCAACCAAGGTTTTCAGTACATGCACAAAGCTATCAACTAGATTCAATTCACCTTTAGACTGCATATTCGCTTTGACAAAACCACAACACTTAGTAAAATCCGTTATTGCCATCAGACTGTTTAGACGTAACCGTCCACCCGGATCAAATGTAACCGGCTAGCTAGCATTTGCACTAAGAAAGGATTTCAGAAAGGTAACCAAACCAGCATCAGTATGATTCAAATTAGCACCCTCATAGGCAGGCTTGGTGACAATATCGTTCAATTCATTCTCCACAACAATCAATTCATTCTTTGATAACGAATCATCACCAATCACATTATAATCATAACTAAGACTCGATTTAATATCACCAGCATCAATCAAGCACAACATTTCAACATGTTCATCAATATCACCGTCTAAACTCAATGATTTGTCAATAAAACCCCCAGAAAGGACTTCTTCTTCTTCACTGTAATAGAAAGACTCATGAACATGTTGAAACGGAGTTTTACCTTCTTCACTGGTCGGACTTGTAACCCCTCATTTGCGCCACAATTATCAACACCAAGCATTTTGAACATGGTGACCATCTTTTCCTCAAGGCGATCCCAAGTGCGTCTGCTCCTCTCTTTAGCAGAAAGATTGAGAAACTTCTCAGCCTCCGTTTCAGACCGGTGCCTGCGAAGAACTTCTTCAACTTCTCGATGAGAGATAAGACTGATTGGCCACACGATTGTCACTTCCGAATCAAGAGCTGAGGAATGGTCTCCTGATGTTTCATTTCGAGCGGGTAATTCGTCGGTTGGAGGGGACGATTCCCAAGCCCACTCGTCCACATCACTCCAGTATCCATTCATGATTGCAAATTGAATTGGAATAGATTGAATTCAAGAACAAGCAGAAAGGGTTCATTCAGATTCAATCGAAGGGGAGAAGAAAAGATTTCAGAAATCGATGAAGAGGAGAAGAAATCCGAAGCAAAGGTGATTCGGAAATGAAACAAGATCGAGAAGGGAAGGATCGAATTCGAAGGAAGAGATGACGAATCAGAGTTTTCGAAGCGGAATAAGAATAAAAAGGAAATCAGAGTAGAAGCGGCCAAGAATCAACTAGCTCTGATACCAAATGTAATGCAACGAAAGATTTAAGGCTAAAAACTCAAGGAAATTAGAGTAATCGGAGGATTTGATCGGAAAAAATTGAAGACAGCTAGGGTTTCTGAAGGGAAAACACATTTTCAATTCTAATTCATCATCTTTTCCATAATAAAATTACAATCCCCGATAGCTTATTTATAGTTCCTTAGTTTAGTAAACTACATATAGATCCCTACACTATAGAATTGAGACGTTAAAGTCCTCAATTCATGACAATAAATTGGAATGGTTTAGGACATATGGTCCTGCTTGGTCTCATTACCCAATTTGACAACCCTTCCAGAACTCTTTTCTCAACCCACCATTATGTACTACTGCAATAAGTGCTAGGTGGGATCCCTATCCAAATATTGAACCCATTCCATCGGGGGGACCTTTATTCCAAATTTCCAACCAAACCATATTTATACCAAAATGGTGCTAGCAAACAAATATTTAAGTGACCACAAATAAGATTGATCAGATGGGATGTGTAAAAGTTAAGAAAACACACTTGTCAACCATCAAGATCCGCTAAATGAAGTTTTTGGTTCAATTGCATTGCTGGTTGTCTTGTTCTTGTTATCAAAAAATTGCAATTTAATCTCTCTTCCAGCAAAAGGGTAAAATATGCATATACTAAACTGAAACCATGACAGTACCATATATCTGAAGTTGCAAAATCTAAGATTTGTCACAATGGGCAAAAGTTTGTTTGTATAAGGGTGATCACTTTTTTTTACATGTATACAAGAGGGACCGGGTGCCAGAAAACTGTATAGAATCTATTTGATGCCGCGAGTAATTAGAACAGCAAGAGACACAAGATCATACAACAGCATAGGAAATTAATGATTCTGCTAAGAGATTTATCAGCCTGCAACACTTGCCTTCTAATCCTCGGACTGGTTCCACCTATTAGTTGATATGAGCTTGGATATGAGTATACCGCAGTCTGGTGTCCAAACATCATAGCCAAAACCATTTCTCCCAACATCCCAATCATCGGATGAAATGCATTAGGGTTCCCCGTGCCAGCTAGGCTGAATGTCGGGGGTGCTGTCATGTAGCTGTTGCGGGGACTAGAATACTGGTGATGGAATTGCGGCTGTTGCATGTAACCAAATTGTTGAAGTTGAGGCACAGCACGTGAAATGGGAGTTGGAGGTGCTGAGAGGCTGCGACTCCCGCATTTTGGGCTAGGCGGCCTTTGAGGGATGGCTATACCTAGTTGTCCTCCTTTCCCTTCAGAGGGTTTGGTAGTTAATCCACGACCATAGAGAGGAATTACACTTTCTTCCGATAGTTCAGCTTTGCACACAGGGCATTGAGGCTGATGGTGTTTAAATTCTTCTGAAGGTTCACTCTGGAAATGCAACCATTTGTAGATGCAGGGCCAGCAGTAGAGGTGACCACAGAATGTCACCACTGGATCACGCACCAAATCCAGGCATATGTTACAGTCTAAACCACTAGAAGACTTATCTTCAGGCCCATCTGCTGCTAAAGATTTCCACTTATCTAAGGAAATTTCACCTTGATTCAAGTTGTTTTCAACTGCTGGCTCTTGGAAGTGATGCTCCATGACCATTTATGCTCTAAAACGGAATTGCTTCAAATAGTTGTATCTGAAAACCAAAGAAAAACAGTTAGATTTCAATATTGAGGAGAATAGATTAAAATAGAAAAGCAACTGACATGTAAGGGAGATAAACTATCCACTCCATGGGAAAGCCTACTGATTAATAACTTGTTCTTATCCCAATAATAATGTAAGCATAAAGACTTGGAAGATACGGGTCTCTATCAGTTAGAAGTCTTATCTCAACTAACCTAATCATTAATATATGACAGGTCAGAACATTGAACATGGGATACTATCTAGTTTCTAAAACTACAGTAGATTCTAAAAGATATCAATTACACTTAACAAATGGTACACGATCAAATAGACTTTCTGCTGAAGAGAACAACAAAAAGTTCTGGACCTAATAAAGTCATTCATGAATGTCAGCTATTTCCTAAGAGCCAACGGGAAGAAGCAACGAACGAGAAATTACATTAAACAAGGTAACATGCCGAACACAAAAGAAAAAGGACTACCGAAAAATTACTTAATGGTTGGTGAGAATTAGGTTAACAAATAAAATTTACAAGATAAAGCATCTACTTACTGTTCTGAACTTCACTAAACTTAATACTCAAAACTACCCCACATACCAAATCTATTCAAGTATACAAAGAATGGAGGAAGCAATCATCTCCTCAAAAATGTTTTTAGGTAACCATCTTTTTCAGATTCTTTCGAAGATCTACAATTTACAGATCACAGACACTTCTAGAACATACACTATTTCCATACACAACTCAGTAAACTAATTCACCATTTTTTGTACTAGAAATCATTTTAACCCAAGAAACTGAAGAGTCAGAAGCATACAGAACAGGGAAACAAACAAGATTGCTGCCAAGATTTGACTAAGAATGAGTTTGGCAAAAAAAGATGCTCTTTCGTTTAAAGCACAAAATAATAATTTGCATAAAGTTTGGGCTTCTAGCCTTCCACTTGGCAAAGATATCACACAATTTTTTAAGATAAGAATGATGAGAGATTGCCTCAATTTAGGAGTAAGAATGGATTACTGAGAATAAAAATTATTTTAACAAGACAAAAGAACAGTTCTGAAACTAAACTCCCCAAAGCTCAACACCATCTGGTCAGCAAACAAAAACATCAATAGAAATAATCTCAGATATAAACGCGAAAATTTTTTCAGAGATATAAAAGAGAAGTTGATGTAATATTTCTTTTGAAAATTATAATGCCGGACAGCGATCAGGGAGGCACCAAAGACCCAAGGAAACAAGAATATTCTAGAAGCATACTTATAAAGAGGCATCTCAGAAGGATGAAGGAAACTTCAGCCAGAATAACTCAAATTTTATGGCCCAAAAAAATGATTGTTGTTTTGGAGCTGGAATTCAGCAGACTTCAACACTGCACAAAGAGACAATCGTACCAAGATGACACCTACTGACTGAGCCATATCAGTGAGGCTAGACATCAAATTAAAGATTTCAACCATTTCTCCTCCCAGGGCCCCCCCACCTCTGTGAGGGGTCCTCTTACTAATACTGAACCCAAAAAGGATTAACTAATGAATTACACAAGGACTCAAACCAGATCGGCAAGGAAACTAAAGGTATTATCCAAATTTAAACAGACAAGCATGAGAGAACTTTTGTCATGTAGTTTTAAGTACCACAAAAGCTCAACATCGAATGAACTAAAAACATACACAACTATCAAACTTTGGATGTAAAACCACCCAGAAATATAACATATATACAAACGAAATTAACATTTCTACCTCGATTTCAAAGTTAAGTGGCCCAGATTAAACAAAAACAACACTCCTATGAAGAACAAAGTTAAGTTGGTTGATATCAAATTGATAGAGCTGATTCTACTAAAGAGCCAGAACAGACACAGTTGCCTTACAATCTCAAGGTCTTTTAGTATTATAAAAGCATCCAATCCAAACTCCAAACAACAACCATCAGAAAAAAAAGAAGGCGAAAAACGGGAACCCGATTCACAAAATCTCAAAATCAGGGGAAAAGGAAACTCCAACAATGCACAGATGGGTACCAATAAACCCTCACTATGAAAATGAAAAAGACTCGGCCTTTACCCGAAATTCTTCCTCACTTTAAGCTACCCTTTTCTGAGAATTTGCAAAACCATATGAAAATCCCAAGAAATACTGAAGAAAAGAAACCTACCTAAGAACAGAAAGTCGGCCCCTCGATATGGAGAGAAAAAAGAACCAGTGGCGCACAAAAATCCAAAAGCTCTGCGGAACTTTACAGTAACAGAAACCTTTATCCTTCACACAAAAACAAGAAAAAAGCCTGCAAAATTATGAACGAATCAAATCACTCTGTTCTAACTCAACTCTCTCCTCTTTTATCTGTATGATGATATCGAGTAGGAATGGGTTATGGGGTGTGGGGTTCAGCCGAATTGGTCTACAAAAAAATGAGATGATGATAATGGGATTACAAAGTGGCCCATATATATACGGGTTTTTTTATATATAACTCTCAGAAGAGACAAGCGTATTTACGCAACCCACTCGAAAAAAAACACTAAGGGGGAAAAAATGGGAAATTTAGAGGGGCTTTTTGTTTTTTTTTTCCTAATCCCAAATTTAGAAAATAAATTAATTCAAGCAACTTCTACCAAACAAAGAAAAAAAATTTAGTGGTGACGTAGATTCTGGGGAGAAGATTAATTAAATAAAAAAGCTTCCGTAATCCTTCTGGATAAAACGCATGATCTGGTCGCACCCAAAGAACAAAGAAGGAGGAGAAGAAGAAGAAGAAGAAGGCTAATCTGTTTATTGATTCGGGTTTGTGGGTTTCTGGCGTGGCAACTACGGGAGGTTGTGTGATACGCGTTTCTTGCTGATGTGAATCCACACGTTTATTTTTATTTCCATTTCTTTTCCAGCTATTCTAATATATCTTACTATATAAGAAACAAAAACCACACTTCAAAGAGCTCCCCTTCAATTACCACGTGGCATTTCCACCTCATTAATTGTCATTAATTGGTATTAATAAATTAATAGATTTTCATAATACCCTCCAAAATGCACACCAGGTGCTCTTCTATTTTCTTCCCTCTTTCAAATTTCCACTCCTCCATTACAGTACAAAAAAGTAAATTATATCACTTCTTATTTCACAACTGATGAGATTGCTCTTCAGTCCATTTCATTTTCGATTCTTCTTCCAAAATCTTGCACATTCTCATAATCAAAATGCTGCCGTCCACCGCCGGTAAACCGCCGCTTCCACCACCACCCCGCCTTGCTCGGGTACCTCCATCGCAAAAAATTTTCTCCCGTGCCAGAGCCCAGATCGTCACTTTCCGTCTATTCTAACATAGAATGGGAAACAAATCTTCTATAGGCATCTATTATAACAGAATTCAATTGAATCCTACCTTAATCCATAAACTTTCTTTGATTTCTTCAATTGAATCCCATTTTCAATTCATTTCTTTCGGTTTGGTTACTTTTCCAAGTATGAGAATGGATTACTTAGTTCCGAAACTTCAGAGGTAGTCGCAAACGAGCTCGAAGTTTCTGTACTTGGGCACTTTGGTGAATACTCATGGAGCCACCGACAATAGTGTTATGCAGCAACAACACCCACGTGGCAGTAGCACCGGCGACGAGAGCAATGCTGCGAATTCGAGAAAATTTGACTCGCCGGAGGTCTGCCCTTTGCCGCCGCTTTACGGTCACAACAATGTTAGGCGAAATTACGGTAATGGTGATGTGGGGTCCGCTACACATCAATGTGAGGCAAAAAATAAAAAAACTCTTCCAGTACCGGAATATTTTAGATAATATTTTGGGCTTAGGGTCCAGTAAGTGAATACAGTCCAAATAGAAATGTTTTCATTGGCTGATGTTTGACCGAAAGGAAAGTAATAGTATTTTGTATAGAGCCCACTCATTTTTTAGAGTAGAAGTAATAGTATATTGTATAGAGGTCAAACATTTCCGGCAATACAGTCCTACTAATTTATCCCACTTTTTACAATAGGACTACGCACCATGATCGCACTAATTTATATGGTGGTGAGTTATTTTTTTTTATCCCACTTTTGTATAGTATTTTGTATGATTTTGTATTGGGTGGGAAGGAATGATGTTCCTTTCAAACACCTCCTATGTTGTCACGTGACATGAGAAAAGTACTAAATTACCCTTTTGTCTAACCATAACTAAATTACTAAATCCCCCTTTCCACTTTAGGTGACACTTTTTTTTAAAAATTTTTTCTTTATGTTTCATTCAATTAGAGTGGTTTTCTTTTCTTAATTATGGAGTCTAAATTGAATTGATCAATTAGGTTTTGTTTCGAAGTGTCAATTTTGTTTTAAGCGTATACCCTTTGGATGAAACTTATTACAAAGCTATTAAAAATCTCCAAAACTAAGTATTAATTTGGCACGACCTATGTAGAACATCAATAAATCATCTTACTAATATTTAAACTTATTAGGATGTTTTCATATTTTGTCTAACATTTATTTCAACACATATATTCGATTAAGTCTATTTATATTTAATAAGTAATACTTATAAAACATTTCTAAAACATATAAAATACAATTTCTTTTTTTGTGAAATACAAATATTTCTACGATCACACTTATAAAACATTTGTAAATCCTTCAAACATTTATAAAATATATCGCTCCAAATATAGAATTTTATTTTTTTTTCAAATATAAATATTTCTAAGATCTACAGATAGACTGGGCCAAGGTCGCGCATTGCGCGACCAGACATCACTAGTATATATATATATGATCTTGTTTGTTTGTCAACTTATTTTACATTTTCACTCATTTTACCTCTTAAACACAAAACCCAATAAAAAAGAAAACATCATCCAAACAACTTTCTGATTTACATTTTAAATTCTAACTTGAAACACTTTTTGTTAGTGTAGTGACCATTTTAGAACTACAAAGAGTTCAGTGACAAATTTGGCAAGATTCCGTTG